TTATTAGGGAATACTATGGAAAGTTATATGCCAACAAACTGGACAACCTGGAAGAAATGGACAAATTCCTAAACACTCACACGCTTCCAAAACTCAATCAGGAGGAAATAGAAAGCTTGAACAGACCCATAACCAGCAAAGAAATTGAATCAGTCATCAAGAATCTCCCAACAAATAAGAGTCCAGGACCAGATGGCTTCCCAGGGGAGTTCTACCAGACATTTAAAGCAGAGATAATACCTATACTTCTCAAGCTATTCCAAAAAATAGAAAGGGAAGGAAAACTTCCAGACTCATTCTGTGAAGCCAGTATTACTTTGATTCCTAAACCAGACAGAGACCCAGTAAAAAAAGAGAACTACAGGCCAATATCCCTGATGAATATGGATGCAAAAATTCTCAATAAGATACTAGCAAATCGAATTCAACAGCCTATAAAAAGAATTATTCACCATGATCAAGTGGGATTCATTCCTGGGATGCAGGGCTGGTTCAACATTTGCAAAGCAATCAACGTGGTACATCACATTAATTAAAAAAAAAGAGAAGAACCATATGATCCTGTCAATCAATGCAGAAAAGGCCTTTGACAAAATCTAGCACCCTTTCTTAATAAAAACCCTTGAGAAAGTCGGGATAGAAGGAACATACTTAAAGATCATAAAATCCATTTATGAAAAGCCCACAGCTAATATCATCCTCAATGGGGAAAAACTGAGAGCTTTTTCCCTGAGATCAGGAACACGACAGGGATGCCCACTCTCACCGCTGTTGTTTAACATAGTGTTGGAAGTGCTAGCATCAGCAATCGGACAACCAAAGGAAATCAAAGGCATCAAAATTGGCAAAGATGAAGTCAAACTTTCACTTTTTGCAGATGACATGATATTGTACATGGAAAATCCGATAGACACCAAAAGTCTGCTAGAACTGATACATGAATTCAGCAAAGTTGCAGGATACAAAACCAATGTACATAAATAAGTTGCATTCTTATACACTAATAATGAAGCAACAGAAAGACAAAGAAACTGATCCCATTCACAATTGCACCAAGAAGCATAAAATACCTGGGGATAAATCTAACCAAAGATGTAAAAGATCTGTATGCTGAAAACTATAGAAAGCGTATGAAGGAAATTGAAGAAGATATAAAGAAATGGAAAAACATTCCCTGCTCATGGTTTGGAAGAATAAATATTGTCCAAATGTCAATACTACCCAAAGCTATCAATGCAATCCCAATCAAAATTGCACCAGCATTCTTCTCAAAACTAGAACAAGCAATCCTAAAATTTATATGGAACCACGAAAGGCCCCGTATAGCTAAAGTAATTTTGAAGAAGACCAAAGCAGAAGGCATCACAATCCCAGACTTTAGCCTCTACTACAAAGCTGTCATCATCAAGACAGCATGGTATTGGCACAAAAACAGACACATAGACCAATGGAATAGAATAGAAACCCTAGAACTAGACCCACAAAATATGGCCAACTAATCTTTGACAAAGCAGGAAAGAACATCCAATGGAAAAAAGACAGTCTCTTTAACAAATGGTGCTGGGAGAACTGGACAGCAACATGCAGAAGATTGAAACTAGACCACTTTCTCACACCATTCACAAAAATAAATTCAAAATGGATAAAGGACCTGAATGTGAGACAGGAAACCATCAAAACCCTTGAGGAGAAAGCAGGAAAAGACCTCTCTGACCTCAGCTGTAGCAATTTCTTACTTGACACATCCCCAAAGGCAAGGGAATTAAAAGCAAAAATGAACTACTGGGACCTTATGAAGATAAAAAGCTTCTGCACAGCAAAGGAAACAACCAACAAGACTAAAAGTCAACCAACGGAATGGGAAAAGATATTTGCAATTGACATATCTGTCAAAGGGCTAGTATCCAAAATCTATAAAGAGCTCACCAAACCCCACACCCGAAAAACAAATAACCCAGTGAAGAAATGGGCAGAAAACATGAATAGACACTTCTCTAAAGAAGACATCCGGATGGCCAACAGGCACATGAAAAGATGCTCAACGTCACTCCTCATCAGGGAAATACAAATCAAAACCACACTCAGATATCACCTCATGCCACTCAGAGTGGCCAAAATGAACAAGTCAGGAGACTATAGATGCTAGAGATGATGTGGAGAAACGGGAACCCTCTTGCACTGTTGGTGGGAATGCAAATTGGTGCAGCCACTCTGGAAAACAGTGTGGAGGGTCCTCAAAAAATTAAAAACAGACCTACGCTATGACCCAGCAGTATTACTGCTATGAATTTACCGAGGGATACAGGAGTACTGATGCATAGGGGCACTTGTACCCCAATGTTTATAGCAGCACTCTCAACAATAGCCAAATTATGGAAAGAGCCTAAATGTCCATCAACTGATGAATGGATAAAGAAATTGTGGTTTATGTACACAATGGAGTGCTATGTGGCAATGAGAAAGAATGAAATATGGCCCTTTGTAGCAACGTGGATGGAACTGGAGAGTGTGATGCTAAGTGAAATAAGCCATACAGAGAAAGACAGATACTGTATGTTTTCACTCTTAGGTGGATCCTGAGAAACTTAACAGAAACCCATGGGGAGGGGAAGGAAAAAAAAAAAGAGGTTAGAGTGGGAGAGAGCCAAAGCATAAGAGACTCTTAAAAACTGAGAACGGGGTGAAAGCTTGGGGAGTGCCGAGGAGTCCTCTGGAACCGGAACTTGGACTTCTCTGACTGTGTCCTCTCTTTCATCTCCTCGGTGGGGGCCCTAGCTATGCTCCTGGCCCGGATCCCCCAGCAGAGAGGCCGTGTTTGAAGGATGACCTCTAGGAAGGAAGTGTTGCTGAAGGTTATCATCCTGGGAGATTCTGGAGTTGGTAAGACATCACTCATGAACCAGTATGTGAACAAGAAATTCAGTAATCAGTACAAAGCTACAATAGGAGCAGACTTTCTGACAAAGGAGGTGATGGTGGATGACAGACTAGTTACAATGCAGAACTGGGACACAGCAGGACAGGAACGGTTCCAGTCCCTTGGTGGCCTTCTACAGAGGCGCAGACTGCACCTGGTATTTGATGTCACTGCCCCCAACACATTCAACACTCTTCATAGCTGGAGAGATGTGTTTCTCATCCAGGCCAGTCCCCGGGATCCTGAAAACTTCGCCTTTGTGGTGTTGGGAAACAAGATTGACCTGGAAAACAGACAAGTGGCCACAAAGCGGGCACAGGCCTGGTGCTACAGCAAAAATAACATTCCCTACTTCGAGACCAGTGCCAAGGAGGCCATCAATGTGGAGCAGGCGTTCCAGACGATTGCACGGAATGCACTTAAACAGGAAACAGAGGTGGAGCTGTACAACGAATTCCCCAAACCCATCAAACTGGACAAGAACAACCGGGCCAAGGCCTTGGCGGAAAGCTGCAGTTGCTGAAGGAGCCCTGCAATGGGTTCTCTGTTGACACCTCGGAGCCTGGAGCCTGCTTCAGATTCTGTGTCTCCCTCTCTGTCTGCTCCTCTCCTGTTCATGTTCTGTCTGTCTCTCTCTCAAAAATAAATAAACATTATAAAAAGAGATTTTAAAAAAGAGACTACTGGAAGTTGCACATAATACTTAAAAAAAAAATAAATAATATTTCTGGATATAGACTCATGAGATTCCCAAGCACACTAAAATTAAGGAACCCTGCTGATAAGAATGCCTGCCATCGATGGGTTTTTATGGATTCTTGGATGCAGAATTTTATCTATACCATTATCTGACAAAAGTAAAGGATACAAAATTCTTAACTCACAGATCCATAGCAGTTTTATACAGAAAAAAACATACGTACATATAAATAAACTGACCAGCAAATTCTTTCAAGTTGCATAAAATAATATTTTAGAAGGCAACAGAAACAGCAGCATTGAGCAAATGGGCAGATACACTAACCCACATAGATCCTGCATTGTCAGGCATGATTGGACTACTTTTATACCAATCTGAAAGTAGTGGTGTAAGATATTCTACTAGTGAGCTATTCAGGAAGGATAAACTTATATTAGTTTCAGATCCAATTGTTGCAAGACACTATGATGAGAGATTGTCGTGTGTGAAATAAAACAATCCGGGCTTGATCAGGCTAAGGTCCAGGCTTGACAATATAGCAAGATACTTCTAACTGGTGAGAGAGCAACACTATTCCTCTGACCATCCTCACTTTAAAGTACCATAGGCTTTTTGTTCTGTTTTAGTTTCTCTGTAAAAACACCTCATCTAAACTGTGTCATATAAAAGCAGTTCTTATAATTGTTCCACAAGTCTTAATCGTTGACCCAAGCAATTTATTTGAAAGAGAAAATAGCTAGCAAATATTCTTTTTTTAAATTTATTTATTATTTACTTTGCAAGAGAGAGTGAGCTAGTGGGGGAGGGGCAGAGAAAGATACAGGGAGAGAGAGAATCCCAAGCAGGCTCCACACTGCCAGCACAAAGTCCAATGTGGTGCCCAAACTCACAAACTGTGAGATCATGACCTGAGCTTAACCAACTGAGCCACCCCCGCACCCCACTAGTAAATATTCTTATAATCAGTGTGCTTATATACCCTAGTTTACCTGAGATAGTCTAATCCTATATTTCTATTGTAGTTATTAATTATATTTCATTCTTAAAAGTGCCTCAGTTTGAACAATAAATTGTATGACATCCAAACTTTAAACACTATTGGTCAGGCGCCTGGGTGGCTCAGTTGATTGAGCGTCCAACTTCAGCTCAAGTCATGATCTCACAGTTTGTGAGTTTGAGCCCTGCGTCAGGTTCTGGGCTCACAGCTCAGAGCCTGGAGCCCGCTTCGGATTCTGTGTCTCCTTCTCTCTCTGCCCCTCCCCCACTTGTGCTCTGTCTCTCTCTATCAAAAATAAATAAATGTAATAAAAAAATATTTAAACAGTATTGGTAAGTGGCATGAGTCCTAGAAAAGTTTTTGGAAAGAAGATGCAATTTTTCAGTGGCAAAGTTCTTGGTTTGTATCAAAATTTTGAAATAAAATCATTACATTACTAAATTACCAACACAATTATATTTGAGCAACTATAATCTCCAAGGACATCTGGAAACAATCACAAAAGCAAATAACAGAAAATTTACAATATTCTATCTCAGGCTGGCCATCAACCCTACTCAAAATCATTTGACATGCCCTTTGTCAACGCCCATTCTCAGTCCCCTTGATTGTACAGATTGTATCTGGAGCAGTATATAGACTATTAGTTTAATCAGTGAATTTCTAATTTTTTGTGCCCTTGTTGAAATGAAATTACTTTTTGCCTCAGGTTTTAATTTTAAGGGAAATTTAATAAGGAGAAACAGAAAACAAAATAAAGGAAAAATAATCCCAAGTGAGGGAAGAAATTTCTAGGTAATACTCAGTCCAGTTGCCTTTTCCTGGCTAAGGTTAGCAAGAATTATATAGTCCCTCTCACGGTAATCCAGGGAGATAGTTTTAAAAGTCATTTGCTACTATTTTGAAGATTTCACTTGCAATTCCTGCCAGTGTTCAAAGAAAGTCATTCCTTAAGCATTGCAACAGATATATAGATTGAGAGGCAACTTCAATAATTTCTTACAAAAGTGAGATTTGAGACTCTGTCAGGTGAAGTATGGGATTTATGAGCTTCATTTGAAATACACTTCTTTTTGTTAAATGACAGAATCAAAGTTAAATAACTGTTAAACACCAGTTGCTCTTAATGCAACTGTGTATAAATAATGAAAATTAATCATCCATCAATTATGCAACATTGGCCTAATAACAATCAAACATTTGTCATCTTGTTTATTTATTGTGAAGATGTACATTTCAAATTTTACTTTTTAAATACTTTAGCTGAGAAGGGTTTATGCTAAAACATAACACTGAGTATTACTTATTAATGCCCAACCTTCTTATATATAGACAAACAACTATTATTTGTTGAGTCCTTTTAATTGGCTGGATATTTTTCAAAGTACTTTACTACAGTTTTATCTCAATAATCCTTGAAAACTCTTAAGAAGTAAACATTATTTATATTCTTCACTTTAGAGGCTTTTAAATTGAGGTACAGAGAGATTAGTTGATTGTCCCAGAGCAAGCTCGCTGTATCAGAGCTAGGATTGACATCAGAGCCTATATAGCCAAACACTTTTGGGTGTTGCTTTCCATTGACATTTCTATAGCACATAGTCAGTCAGTTTGTGTTTGCCAGTGATTATATACCACCATTTGAATGAATCCATTTTGGCATCTTGTAGCTGTAGTCAAGGAATTATAGATTAGCTAATGGTATTTGTGTTAGAAAGAGGATATGTATGATTACTTATGTTGTATTAGCATACTGGTGAAATGAAGAAGACTTTCATCTTTATAAATCAAAGGCATTGCTATAAACCTTTATTCACTGCACCCCATCCCCCTCCATCACCATAAATTTCCTGATATTTTTCTTTTAAAGACTTTATATCCTGAACAGAAAAAGACATATGGGATATACCTCCTTGTTATATTAGAAAGCTAAGCACCGGATTTCATCTCAAGAAGAAATTATTTGGAGCAGGTATTCCAAACCCCAAAGGTGAAGAGGACCAAGAATCTAGTGGACAGTATGTTGTTGTAGGCTGATAAATGTAAGCATGTATTTTACCTTTTGTGGCCAGGAGATAATAGGGAATTGTGGGAAGTGTGGCAAATCAGAATATGTATGCCCTTCCTAAAGGCTCAAGGATGATGAAATGCAGGGACAATAGCATGACTATTTCTAGATGAAAATCAGATATCCAGATTATTATATGAAATTTAATCTTTAAATGTTCATAATAGATGCAGTTTAAATCATTGGCAAGCCAAACAAATAAAACAGTCTGTGGTCCAGATTCAGTGTATTCTCCCAGTTTAGCTTCTGGTCTATGGCACATACATATCTTCCTCCACATATTATGGGGTTACATCCTGATAAATCCTCTGCAAATTGAAAATATTATAAATTGAAAATGCATTTAATACACCTAACCCTACTGAACATCACAGCTTAGCCTTGCTTAACTTATACATACTCACAACACTTACATTAGCAGTTGGGCAAAATCATTTAACACAAAGCCTATTTTAAAATAAAGTGCTGATTATCTCCTCTAATTTAATTCAATAAATTAAGTAGTTCACTGAAAGTGAAAACAGAATGGCTGCATGGGTACAGGTAAGGTTGGAAGTGCATCGGTCGTTTACCCTTGTGATGATGTGTTTGCCTGGGAGCTTTGGCTTACCGTCACTGCCTAACATCACAAGAGTATTGGACCACAATACACTAGTCTGGGAAAATATCAAGATCAAAATTCAAAGTATGGTTTCTACTGGATGCATATTGCTTTAGCACTCTCATAAGGTTGAAAAATTGTAAGTCGAACCATTGTAAGTCAGGGACCATCTGTACCATACAGAGATAGTGAGGAGAATCATTGTACATAGTACATGGTTCTTTTACTGCCCTTGGTCCATAGACCCTTCATTCAATGTGCAAGGTAAAAGGTTAATGTTCACTAAAAAACACATAATAAATGTCTACTCAAATGAATATTTCTGAAATAGGGAAATGTTTCTGATATAGGAGGTTCAAAATATAGATATATTTTCTGACTTATGATCCTCAAAATCTAAGTAACAACATGGAAACATAAGGTAACAATTACAGTTCAGTGTGCAGACTTCTTTTATAGCACTTATTAGAGTGGTAGGGGAGCAAGAAGTAAGAAGTAACTATATTTGTTTATCAGAAGGCTATATTTTGGGTTTTGATTGAATCATTAGTTTTTAACACAGAGAAGGTGGATAGGAATAGAATTATTGGCTAAAAGAATCAATATGGAATGATATTATGGTTTAAACTACCTGGGAATTTTCAGAGCAAGTCATTTATTTTTCATTGAAATTGTGAAACAATCAGAGAGAAATGCCTACGTACCACATTAAATAATATTAGAACCAAACCCAGTTCAGGAGTTTTTAATTGCTAATTTGCTTTAAAATATTAGACATAAACACTAGTTTCTCTTCGCTTTAAACCTGGGTAATTACCATAAACCTTTATGAAGGTTATCATGATAAAGTTTAAGAAATTTGATGGTCAGAAAGAGTCTTATTTGATCTAGTTTAAATTCCAGCCAGTGCAGCAATTTCTTCTGTAGTTGATAAAGAGTAGCTATATCTACTAACAGAATTCTAATGAAGAAAATCTTTGATTGAATTTTATTGTTAGGTAACTAATTTCCAGAAAGCTTCACATTGCATTGAGTTCAAATCTGCCTCCATGTAAGTGTTATATATTGATCTTAAGGTTTTTCTTCTAGAATGACAGAAAATAAGGCTTAAAAATTTTACATGGCGATTCTTAAAATGTTTAGCTACAGCTATCATTTTTTTTTCT